TCTCCATCTTATAGATAAAAGGCACGGAGAAATTCAGCAACTTGCCAGAGTCACACAGCTAGAAAAGGGGGATGAGCTAGGATTTGAACCGAGGCAGACCGACTCTCAAGGGACCTCCCAGGAAGACCTCTGGGAGAGTGGACCAGTACGGAGGAAGGCAGGGGCGCATCTGAGTCGGGGGCTGGTGAAGAACAGCCTGCGCGGGTGGGAACCTCCTTGCTGGCGTGGCCCTGAGGCCCTTTCACAGCTCAGTGAGATGATTCAGGCTGAGCAGCGAGTGTAGATTTTATTGGGAGAGAGATGGACTGCTGTCAGCGGCTTCTGCACAGAGGAGAAACATGATCTGACTCAAGCTGCTGCGGGAAGAACGGACTGGAGTCAGGTGGTGGCAGGGCGGGCGCAGGGAGACCGGGAGAAGGCTGCTGTCACAATCCAGGTAGGACAGGACCAGGTGGAGGGCGGAGATGGCCGCACGTTGCAGCCTGCCAGTGCCCTACTTATTAATCCTAGCAGAGAAGTACAATCTGGGAGCTTTTCAACTGGTGGCTTTTGGTCAAGTCTTCAGAGCTAGAAATGTGACGGTAGGCCACCTGTCTCCAGTGCGGAAGAAAACGAGGACTTCTGGGCCACACTCTCTCTTGTCTCCAGCAGAGGGCGATGTGGGACAGCGTCCGTAGGATTCAAAGGCACTGATCCTGTGGGTCTGTGAGTGGAAATTCACAATCCCAGGGCCACCCAGATTGACAGAGCAAAGCATCCATATCATGGCTTTTCATGATCTATTTCAAGACTATCCTGCCTATGATAAGAGAGCTGTTTGTTTATAACTGGGAACTCCCAACCATGAGATCATCTCCTTTCCATGCCTCTTGCCCAGGTCCTGTTTGGCAAGGGCAGGCTGTGTGTTTAGAGGCAATGTTGTGACATGTTCTTTTTGCTGTCTCTTGCGTCTGTTGACTTAGGGTGAGCGTGTTTTTCCAGTTAACACTAAGCCGTCTCAGTCTTTTAAACTGTAGCCCCACGTGTGTTTCATGTGCTCACAGCAGTCCCCTCGGGGGAGTTTTTTCCCTGTCCTGCTGTAGACCAGGGAGTCATCTTGCAGTGATGCTGGAGCTGCGGTGCCTCACCCAGGACATGGCGTAGCCTGGCAGCCAGCAGTGCTCTGTGGATGGGAGCCTGAGCTAGAGTCAGTGAGGACGCGCAGCAGGGGCTCTCAGACAGGGCTGGCGGGTGTAAATGGGCACAGCCACTTGGAAAACTGCTTGGCAGTTCCATAAAAGTGAAAATTAACATGCCTGGTGACTCAGCAATTCCTCTCCTGAGTATAAACCCAGACGCAAATGTGTTCATGTGCTCTGAGAGGTGCTTCCATGAATGTTCCTAACAACACTGTTTGCAGTTGTCAAACACTGGAAGCAGCTTCCACGCTCATCAGCAGTAGGATGGGTTAAATCCATCGTGGTGGAAACAGTATTCTCTTGCAGCAACCTGGTCCCATCTCATAGCTGTGGCATTGTGAGAAAGAGGCCAGATAGAAATGAATACAAACACTTGAAGCTCAGAAACAGGCAGAAATACATCATGGTGCAAAGAGTTACAATAGGATTGCTCTTGTTCTTGTTTAGTCACTGAGTCGTCCCCGACTCTTTGCAGCCCCATGCATGCACTGTGGCCTGCCAGACTCCTCTGTCCATGCGATTCTCCAGGCAAGAATGCTGGGGTGGGTTGCCATTTCCTTCCCCAGGGGATCTTCCTGACCCATGGATTGAACCCACGTCTGACACTCTGGGAGGTGGAGTCTTTACCACTGAGCCACCAGGGAAGCCTAGGGTTGCTTTTAGGGAAGTGAAAAGGGACACAAAAGAGTTTTTTGGAGACTGGCAATGTGTTTCTTCATCTGGGTGGTGATTGCCTAGATATTCACTCTGTGCTAATTCCTTGAGCTGTACTTAACATGTGTGGTGTACTCTTCTGGAGTACATTATATTTCAGAGGGAAAAAATTACTCAAAGAGAAAAATCATGGGCTCTGGAGATGTCACACCTAGGGTGGAATCCTGGTTCAGCCACTTAACTGCAGTGACCTTGGATAAGGCACCTAGCCTCTTAGAGCTTCACTTTTCTTATCAGCAAAAGGGAGATAGTAACATTCCCCTCCCCCAACAGACCTATACATATACTAGTAGTTATAACTGCTATCATGCCTGAATACAGTGCAGTTGAACTATGCTTTCATAAATGTGACTTGTTATTAAGATATATCTGTTAGAAATTACTTTGTCTGCAAAGTAACAGGAAACATGACTATAGCTAAAACAAATATGGGGTTATTTTAATTATCTAACAGGAAATCTGGAGGTAGGAAGTGACAGGGACTCACTTCTTTGTCATTTTGTTGTTGTCTCATTCCTAATGATCCCAGGGTGGCTGTTGCAGCTCCAGACATCTTATCCTCATACCAGCATCCTTAGAAAAAAATGAGCAGGTGGAAAGGGGCTTTTTAAACCAGGGAAGAAAATCTTTCACCAGGAAAGAGAATCTGCCATAGATGTCTTCCCCAAGCTGAATTTCCTTCTCATGTCATGGCCTGGATCTAGTCATGTGTCCACCTGTAGGAGAAACTTGGAAAGCAGCATCTGGGGAAGGGGAATGCAATGGCCATGATTGGCTTGACTAAATGTTTTTTTTTTTTTAAGCAGTTTAGACAATGTATATTTCATAATTTACTGTTACATTCCATCAGGATATTTGTTAGGACAGTCCAGCAGCTAAAACATGTATCTTTGGAAAAAACTTCGAATGCTTAGTTTTGTAACATATAAATATAATGCACATAACAAAGATACAGCAAGACACCTCCACCTACCCATAAATTGGAAAAGACCGTGATGCTGGGAAAGGCTGAGGGCAGGAGAAGGGGGCGACAGAGGATGAGATGGTTGGATGGCAACATGGACTCAATGGACATGAGTTGGAGCAAACTCCCGGAGATGGTGAAAGACAGGGGAGCCTGGGCGTGCTGCAGTCCGCAGGGTTGCAGTCAGACATGACTGAGTGAACAACAGCAACAACCCAGAAATTGCTACATTTCTGAAACACCTCTGTATTGGCCACAGTGCTTTCAGCTCTGAGAAAACTTAAGTCTGTAAAGTACCAGATAGTAACTGTCTTAAGTTCTGTGGGGCATTGGTCTTCTTCAGACTATTGAACTCTGCTAATTTAGTGTGCAGGTAGCCACAGGTAAACAAACGAGTGTTTTTTTTATTAGTGTTCTAATAAAACTTGACATTATAGACACTTAAGTTTTAATATCATATACATTTCACATCACACGATATTCTTTAATTTTTTCAACCATTTAGAAATTTAAAACATTGCAGGCAGTGGGCCAGATCCAAATCACCTGTGGAAAAACATACAACCCAACCAAAGCAAGGCACTGCAGCAGTGAAATGGGTGAATGCTGGTAACCAACCTTTTATTTATTCATTTTGCAGTATAGTTCAAAAAATACAAATTATAATGATGATAGTATCTAACATAGAGCTCTTCCTGTGTCTCAAACACTTATTCTAAGGACTTCAAAAATATTAACTCATGTACACCTCAAAGCAATCCTAACATATTGTTATTATCACTTCTTTTTTATAGAAAAGGAAACTGAGGCACAGAGAGGTTGAGTGCATGCCTCATGATAGAATCTGAGCCTGGGCAGTTGGAGTCCCAAGTCCACGCTCTTAACCTCTGTGTCATGTTGCTTCTACTAAAAAGATAAAGGTAGTGAAGACCATGTAGGATTCTCATATAACTCAGCTGCAGTATAAATTGCAACCTGCTCTGCAACCTGCTAAATATCAGTTCAGCTCTGCAACCTGCTAAAACAACACTAACAATACTAACAAAGTAGTATTACTTTTTTATTGTGTAGGGTGTTTTCAGCTTTTTTTAAATGTAACTTGTTGTTTAGTTGCAAAGTCATACCTGACCCTTTTGTGATCCCATGGATTATAGCCCACCAGGCTCCTCTCTGTCCATGGGATTTCCCAGGCAAGGATACTGGAGTGGGTTGCTGTTTCCTTTTCCACTGACTAAAGGTTTTAAAATCTGACTGCACATCAGAATTTCCCGAGAAATATTAAAAAAGAGAATAGGTTTGTAAACATACAGATACATAAGTGTGTGTATACTGCACACATACATGCATACAGACAGACAAGCCTGGGCCCCTCCACCAACCAGCTGAATCAGAGCCATTGATGGTGACTTTGACAGGAAACCAAGGTTACAGTTCAAGACCCACGATGGTACTGCTGTCTGGAGCAGGAAGGTGTTTTACCTAAAAGTGCGTGGTAATAGACTTCCGTGATGACTCAGACAGTAAAGAATCTACCTGCAATGCAGGAGACTCGTGTTCGAACCCTGGGTCAGGAAGATCCCCTGGAGAAGGGAATAGCTACCAATGCCAGTTTTCTTACCTGAAGAATTCCATAGACAGAGGAATCTGGTGGGCTACAGTCCATGGTGTCTCAAAGAGTTGGACATGAGTGGTAATACATGTACATATATTATTGTGACAATGACAGTAAAAGTGTTTGTTAGCATGCCAACATTGTAGTGCCTGTTTTATTCACTCTGCCTTTTGTTACCTGATATTATCCACCGCCCCACCTGCACGTCAGCTCCAGGAAGACAGGGGTCTTTGTTTTTTCACCACACTAAAGAGGGCACTGGGACAATATTTGCTGAACAAACAAAGGCTGTTCCATCCACTGTCCCAACACTCCCTGGAAGCTGAGGTGGAGAGATAGGAAGTCATTTGGTCAAGATCTCACAGCCAAGGGGTAGCAAGTTCAAGTTCGTTCAGACCCAGTGCTTTCCAGCCCCAGAGTCCAAGCTTCTGACCATTACACATGTTGCTGTGAGAACAGAACAGCCTCGGGGGCTCTCTCGTTCCTTCCCGCGTCCTGAGAGCCTCATCTCCCCCCCTTCTCCCTGGAGCAGCTCACCACCTTGAGGGGCTCCATCCTGGAGGACGCCACACCCACCGCCATGAAGCATGGCACCGGGCGGGGCCTGCCCCTGCGGGACGCCCTGGAGTATGTCATCCCTGAACTCAACATCCACTGCCTGCGCCTGGCTCTCAACACTCCCAAGGTGACGGAGCAGCTGCTGAAGCTCGACGAGCAAGGGGTGAGCCGGGGCCCAGGAGGGGTGGGGGTGCAGGGGCAGCAGCCTGCAGCACCACTGCCCGACCCTCTTCCGTCTCACTTTCCTTTTTCCTCCAAAGAACAGAAACCCACTCAGGCTAGTTCCAGTAAGAGGAGGAACCTTCTATCAAGTTCTAGGGCTGCCAGGAGCCAGCATGTGGCTGCTGGGGCTCCCGGGGGAGATAGTCTAGGACTGAGGCAGCCCCCGGGTCCCCGTGTGCGTCTGTGCGTGTGTGTCAGTGCTTCTGCTCCCTCGCTGCATACTGCCTCCCCCTGCTTCTCTGGCCCTCCCACAGCTCCCAGAGCTGCTATTAGGATGAAAGCCTTGTACAGGCCCTGGCTAGCTGACCCTCAGTCCCAGAAGAGCCTCTCACGGCCCCACACTTAGGTCACGTCACCGTCTGTGGTCCAGTGACCAGGGCATCAGGGACACATAAAACAAACATGGCTACCAGGGCTCACCCCTAAGAAACAACGTCGACCCCACTGAGCCCTCCAGAATTGCCTTTTGCAGAACCTTAGCCAGTTCCAGCCCACGTGCTGTGGGCGGCCAGCCAGGGTGACTGTCTTTCCCTCGAGAGCGCCACCCTCCACCCTGTGTAGAAAGTCAGGGCGTGGTGGCGGCGCCCCTTGCCATGCCTCTCTGGAAACGTGGGGAGGGAGAGGGACAGCTGGGACACGCCCCCACCCCTCTTTTCTTCTCTGGCTACGGCACTGAACCCCCATGTAAGCCCAGCAGCCAGGGGGAGCCCCTTCTGTCCCGCGCCCTCCTCCATCTGTCTGGCCTGCCTCCCTGACGCTGCTCTCGCCTCTGCAGCTCTGCCGGAAGCACAAAGTGGGCATCCTCTACTGCAAGGCCGGCCAGAGCTCGGAGGAGGAGATGTACAACAACGAGGAAGCTGGCCCGGCCTTTGAAGAGTTCCTCTCGCTCATCGGGGAGAAGGTCTGCCTGAAGGGCTTCACCAAGTACGCCGCCCAGCTGGACGTCAAGAGTAAGTGGCCGCAGTGGGTGGCCTGGCAGGGGGAGCTCTAACCAGCCCACTTATCCCATGGGCTTAGTCCTGGTGATGCCCTCACGAGGACGCTGGGCAGCGGGCACTCAAGGCCTCGGCGGCGCAGGCGCTCTGGATGAGTGTCGCGTGTTCTAGTAAAGCCTGAAGATGGTCCTGCGCTGTGTCTCAGCACCTGCACTCCCAGACACGTTCTCTGAGCTCTCGAGCACGTGCGTGCCCAGAGGGGTCCTGAGGGGTCACAGCCATAGACACCTGCGTGGTGCCCACTGTGCCCGAGGACCCCAGGGAACACAGTGCTCCTGGCCAGTCTCCCAAATCGCAGCCACCGGGAGGTCACCTGGCCCTGGTGCTGGCCAGCCATGGCTTCAGTGACCTCACCTGTCACAGCTTGTTCCCTGGGATGTCAGTCCACAAGAGCAGGCACTCCTCGGTCTGTCCTACTGCTGCTTCCCTCACACCGACTTAAGTTAAGCTGAGGTCCTAAGGGGCCAAGGCATAGGCCTCCAGGGTGAGTGTGACACCCTGGAGTTAGTTGCAGTGCGGCCTGTGGGTTCACTCAGACATATAGCAGAAACCACCTCCTGGCTGTCCTGCCCAGACAGGAAGGAGCAATTCAAGGTGATAGAAGAAAATATGGGGACCCTGACCTTGTATCGGGCCCAGGCCTGGACAGCATGGTGTGTGACCTGAGAGGGGTGAGTTGCAATAAAATAGACAAAGAAGGGGCAAGAAACATGTTCCAAGAAAAAAGGAGCAGCACATGAGATAGCCCTGAGGTTCCAAGCTTCAGGGAATAAATGGCAAGGATGAGCTGAGGGGCAGGCAGGGGCCTCACATGCAGGACCTTTACTGCTGAAGATCAGTGATTTGGGTCTCTTTCCTAGGAGAATTTTGAAACTCATAAGAGGCAGCATTGAATACTATTAAGAAAACATTCTGGAGACTTCCCTCATGGTTCACTGGCTAAGACTCCACACTTCCAGTGCAGGGGGCACAGGTTCAATCCCTGGTCAGGGAACTAAGATCCCGCATTCCAGGTGGCCCAGAAAACAACAAAAAAGAACAATGCATGGCATGTCCAAAAATTTTTAAAAAAAGAAAACACTCTGGAGTCAGATAGTCCAAGTTCCAGTTCAAGCCCTACCACTCACTGTAGTGTGTAAGCCCTGGGGTGAGTCACTCCATCCGTGTGCCTCAGTTTCCCCCTTGGAGTCCATAATCAGGGGTGTTTCTCCCCAGTCATAACACCCTGCCGTTAGAGAAGAACGTGTCTCGACGCTCAGGATTATCATTTCCTTCTTCATAGTTTTGCAGTCTACATATGCATCTCTAAATAATATAATCCATTTTGCCTGTCTGGGGATATAACATGAATAGAATTATACAGTTTGTGCTCCTTTGTGTCTGGCATCTTTTGTTCCACATTGCATTTGTAGGATTTGCCCATGTGGTGGCTGTGACTCATTCATTTTCATGGCTGTGTATTTTTCCACAGTATGAATTGTTTATCCCTTGGACTGACATATTGAGAACAGCTGTACCCATATCCTGGGGCACTCATGTATGATTTCTCTAGGCTGTGATCCTAGGAGAGAAAGTGCTTGGCTCATCAGTGAAGCCTGTCTGCAGGTTCAGTAACTATTACTAAAGTTTTCCAAAGTGACTGTACCAATTTACACACCTCACCAGCCGCACAGAGGGTTCTGGTTGCTCCACACCCTCCCCAGCCCTTGGCACTGTCAGACTTTGAAATGTTTACCAGTATGGTGGGTGCTTAATATAAGATTTCCTTTTTATCTTAATTTACTGAAATTTTATTGCTGCTGCTGCTGCTGTTATTGTGGCTGTGTGACATGTGGGATCTTCGTTCCCCAACCAGGAACCAGACCCACGTGCCCTGCGTTGGATGGACAGTCTTAACTACCGGACCACCAGGCACATCTCTAAATTTACTGAGCTTTAAAGAGTGAAGTTAAATGAAAACATCGACTTAAAAACTAACACAGATGGCGTGTGGGACATGGCAGGAGCCCAGAGGTTTTGGAGACGTGGTGCTTAACTGGTGTTTCTGTTTCAGCCGACTCCACAGGAACCCACTCCCTCTACACGACGTACCAGGACTACGAGATCATGTTCCACGTCTCCACCCTGCTCCCGTACACCCCCAACAACAGGCAGCAGGTCAGTGGGGCCCAGGGTGGGGGCTCCAAGTGACTTCTGGTTGATGCACAGCTGAACCCAAGGCAGCTTCCTTCCCCACGGCCTTTGGCTGGCTGCCCGCCCGGCACTGGCTCTCCTGGCACCATCTCATGCAGCAGGTGGAGGCCTTTGGCCCTGGAGACCCTCCCTACAGCGGTCTCATCGCCTGGGGGTTGGAGACTAGGTCAGGTGTCACTCTGTGTCACTTTTTTGTTCTGGCTTGTCCTTGGCCACCCTGCTACCCCATCTCCTCTCAAGGGTCTCTTGAGTCATCAGGGGTCCTGTGGGGAAAGACCCAAGTGAATCAGTCAACATTGTATTTTGACTGTAAGTGACAGAGTACAAATCAAATCAGCAAAAGCAAACAATGAGATTTACCGAGTTATATAATTCTCAAGTATAGTTCCAATACTTTGGCCACCTGATACAAAGAGCTGACTCATTGAAAAGACCCTGATTCTGGGAAAGACCGAGGGCAGGAAGAGAAGGGAGCAACAGAAGATGAGATGGTTGGATGGCATCACTGACTCAATGGACATGAGTTTAAGCAAACTCTGGGAGATGGTGAAGGACAGGGAAACCTGGCCATGCTATAGTATATGGGGTCGCAAAGAGTCGGTTGGACATGACTGAGCGCCTGAAGAACAGTTGTCAAGTACTGGGAGAGGACTGGCTTTAGGTATGGCTGGATCCAGGGGCTCAGACAATGTCAGGAGTTCTTCCCGTTTCTCACCTCTGCTTGTATTCTTAGTGGTTGTATTCACAGATCTTCCCAAGGAGTGGCACCTTACATCCCACCAGCTTAGCTCCCTCAGGAGAAAGAGAGCTCTGCCTTGCAAGTGTCCCAGAAATGTTTCCGGGCTGAGTCTCATTGCACCACCCACTTGCCAGGCCCAGGGCAGGGATAGAATGGACTGATTGGCCAAACCTGAAGCATGTGCCCACCCCTAGAGAGGGCCAGTGGGAGGTGCTTTCCCAAAGGGGATGGACACGGCTGCCTGGAGGAGGAGGAGGTGCTAGGTGGGCACAACAGCTGCTGCGTGCCACCAGGGCCTCCTCTCCTGGACACGCCATGCATGTCCAGGAGCACTTTCTCATGAACAGAAACCCCACAGGCTTTTGACAGTTTAGGAAGTGTGTGTATTTTTTCCTGTTGGTTTGGGGTTTCCCAAGTGACTCAGTGGCAAAGAATACACCTGCCAATGCAGAAAGCCTGGGTTCAATTCCTGGGTCAGGAAGATGGTCTGGAGTAAGAAGTAACAACCCACTCCAGTATTCTTGCCTGCAAAATCCCACGGACAGAACAGTTTGGTGGGCTACAGTCCATGGGGTCTCAGAGAGTCAGGCACAGCTGAGCACGCACACCACACCACCGCAGGTGACAGTGTACAATCTGCTGGCCAAAAATGGTCAGACATCAGTGATTTTTAGAACGTTCACCTAGTAACAGCTGGAGGAGCATCGCTCTCGTTGGACCCGAGCTGCGTTCTCTGTCTGCCACTTCCTCAGTGTCATCTCACCTCCCTGGGCCTCAGGTCCCGCCTCTGAAATGGGCAGAACAGTAGCACTCACATCTCAGGGTCACTGGGCAAGGACCCTGCACTTGTGTGTGAAACCAGAGCTCCTGGCAGGGCCCAGGTCGGGAGGTACTCGGGAAGCAGCTGAACGTGCTCCCGGAGGCGTGGTGGGGAGGGCTTGGGTTCTGGGGTCTCGCAGAAGTGGGTTCAACTCACAGCTCCCCCCTCCATGACCCTGGGCTGAGGGCAAGACGTTTAACCCCCGTGAACCTAACTTTTCTCATCAACAGAAGGTCAGATGAATTAATCCCTCACAGGACTTGTGAAGGTGACATGAGGTTACCCACATGTACCCACATGTTACCCACAGCTTTCACATGTGGGTGGACGACGCCTGGTTCAGGGCTGGTCACAATAAATGGGCACTTCAGCAGTTGAGTTTGGTCCTGTGTATAAAACACAGAGAGCTACCAGTCCGGCAGGGTGTGTTGTGCCACTACGTGCGACCAGATTTCACACTCCCGGCCACCTCACGTAGAGTTGCACGCGACCCCCCGCATTGGCGGGAATTCCTAACGGTTATATGAAGACTAAACTTCTATACCTAAGAACAATGTGGGACTTCCCTGGACATCCAGTGATTAAGACTCTGCACTTCCACTGCAGGGGACGTGGGTTCGATCCCTGGCTGGGAAACTAAATCCCACATGCCCACACGGTGTGGCCAAAAAAAAAAAAAGAACAATGTAATTTTAGCAAGGAAGTAAAATGCCAAGAGTACATCATCACCTTTAAAGATGACAGTTTTTCTCAGAGGCCATGACAGGCAGGGGGGCCATGACAGGGTTCTTGTGGGCTGATCTGAGGTTATCACCCCAAGCTTCTCAACTCAGGTAGCCAGAGATGGGCCCTGCCAGTGGTGTCGAGGCTGCCTCTGCCAGTGTCCATGAATGTGACCTTGAGCAAGTCAAAAGCTGCCAGACCGTGCTGTCCTCCAGCTGAGATTTATTGAGCACCTGCTGTGTGCCAGGCCCCGCTCTGGGCACTGAGGATAAAGCACCTGGCCGTGAACAAAGCAGACAAAACCCTTGTCCTCCAGGAGGTGCCGCGTTAGTGGGAAAGACAGAAACAAAAGGAAGAGGGGCAGCCGCTTGTTAAGATGAGTGTGGACGAGTAACACACTGTTACTTGAGTAACAAGGGCAGAAGAGCAGAGGGGGTGCAATCATGGGTAACAGACAGGCAGGGCCTCGTGGGAGGGTGGCATTTCAGCCCAGACCTGAAGGAGGGCAGGCGGGAGCGAGCCACGTGGGGATCTGGGGGAAGAAGTTCCAGGCCGCAGGATGGTGCACAGGAGCCTCGGGGAAGGAAAGGTTTCTGGTTCATTCAAGGAGCAGCAGGAGGCTGGTGTGGCTGGGGCAGAGGGGGAGCATGGCTGGAGCCAGCAGAGAGGTGACGGGGCGGGTCAGGAACCTGAGCCTACCCTGACGTTTTCCTCTCCCCCACCACCGTCTCCCCACCACCAGCTGCTGAGGAAGAGGCACATAGGCAACGACATCGTGACCATCATCTTCCAGGAGCCCGGGGCGCTGCCGTTCACCCCCAAGAACATCCGCTCCCACTTTCAGCACGTCTTCATCATTGTCCGGGCCCACAACCCCTGCACTGATAACGTCTGCTACAGGTACACGCCCCGCCCCCAGCATGCACAGGAAGTCAGGACGCTGGTTTCCAGCGTCCAGGGAGCGTGGGGGTGGGAGAGGGAGGGCACAGCTGGCCGCCTCCCACCTTTCTTGTCCCTGCTTCAGTAGGGAGCTCTGCTCACTCGTTCTACACCCCCTGAGAGAGTGGTTCTTAACCAGAAAGGGCCATGTCATCCCAGTTTCGACAAAGAAACCATCAGGAATTTGTTTTTGCCTGGAGTCTTTTGGTTGCAAGTGACAGAAAACCCACCTCAAAAAGGCAGCCACAGGGTTTCCCTGGCAGTCCAGTGGTCAAGACTGTGCGCTTCCAGTGCAGGAGGCACAGGTTCGATCCCTGGTCGGGGAACTAGGATCCCACGTGCCTCGTGGTGCACGAAAAGAACATAAATGAGTGAAGAGGCAGTCTTACATGCTGTCTATCATAAATGACACAGTCAGGCCCACCTGGAGGTGTTCCACTTCCCTGTACATCATTTCATCTGCTGGCAGCTCCAAGCTTAGCATCTTGCCAGCTGCAGACCCAGCAGAAAGAGAGCCTGCCTTTCCCAGGAAAAGAAGCCCCAGAACTGAGGCTCACTAACCCACATAGGGTCACATTCCCATCCCAGAGCAAAACTAGCACCTGTCCTGGGCACGAGGTGTGTGGCTGAGGGGCACCAGAGTGTGGCCCAAAGGAAGACCAGAAGATGCAAGGATGGAGGCAGGGTAGACAGCAGTGGCCCCCTTGGGCGGCAGTGCTGAGGGTTCTTAATTTGAAGATCAATAAGTGACAAAAGGGACTTCCCCGGTGGTCTAGTGGCTAAGGTTCCACAGTCCCAGTGCAGGGGGCCTGGGTTCAATCCCTGGTCAGGGAACTAGGTCACTCATACCACAATAAAGACCCAATGCAGGCAAATAAATAAATAAACATATTAAATAATACTGTGTTACAAACTTAAGTCCCATTCAGTGTCTTCCCCAAGCACCAGTCTCACTGGAGGATATGGCCGGCCCCCACAGGACAAATGGAAAGTGCTCTGGGTGTGGGGTGAGGAGAGTGCTGTGGTTCTTGAAAACCAGCCCATCAATAACCTGGGCCCAGGGCCAAGGTCTACACTGGTCCCTGGTCAGCATCGCAGACCAGGCTTAGGAGTGTTAGTTTACATTTAAAGGACAAAAAAAAAAAGTTTGAAATTAGATACAAAAGGTAAAATTTTTTTAAGTTAAACATCAAAATTCATCTTTCATCTCTTAAGTCCTCACCATCCCATTGCCGTCACAGAGGCAACTGCTCTTAGCACTTTCTTGATAACCTAGACCCATTCAGGCAAATGTGTGCAAGTATTCCTTTCCCACCTTTTTAATACAAGTTGTATCGTATCCCACACACTGTTCTGCATCCTGTATTTTTTCACTCAGCAGCCTTTGAGAACTTTGCACACCAGTCTTTAAAGTGTTTTTCCCTTCTTTATGACTGTGTATTATTCCATCACATAGATGCCTAAGAGTCTCCCCCTATCCCTTAGTGATGGGTATTGGGGTTGTTTCCTGTCACCTATTACTACATTCCCCCTTGCAGTGCTATTATTAACACATTCCCTCCACGTAGTTTTGTGAGGGAGGGGCGGTTGTTTGTTTATTTTTGGCCATGCTGTGCTGCTTGTGAGATCTTAGTTCCCTGACCAGGGATTGAACCCAGGCCCTTGGCAGTGAAAGCACTGAGTCTTAACCAGTGGACCACACAGGAATTCCCCATAACCTAGTTTAGATGCTCATGGCACACGTATCCAGATACACAGCTGGGATAGGTGAGGTTCTCAGCATGGAGTTACTGGACCAAACGGTATGTGCATAGGTGCCCTGGGTGGACTCGCTGGAAGTGCCAAGAACCTACCAGTTTCTTCTCATTTGACTCATTTGAAAAGACCCTGATGCTGGGAAAGATTGAAGGTGGAAAAAGAAGGGGACGACAGAGGATGAGACAGTTGGATGGCATTACCAACTCAGTGTACATGAGTTTGAGTAAACTCAGGGAGTTGGTGAAGGGAAGCTTGGAGTGCTGCAGTCCATAGGGTCGCAAAGTCAGACACGACTGAGCACCTGAACTGAACTAACCAGCTGCTTCTCTGGGCCAGATATGTGAGAGGATGGAGGGGGATTCCAACATGCAGGAAGTGCTGTGGACCACCAGGCTGGATGTGTTGCCACTGGGAGCTAGCACACCAGGTGGAAGGCCTGCAGCCCCTCCCCGCACCCGTTGCTTGTTCCCAGGACAGAGCGCCAGCTCAGAGGGCTTGTGCCCCCAGGCTCCCTGTAGGCCTGAGGTTACAAAGATAGAGTTGTTCTTGAACATGCACACACATGTGCATCAGAGGTAAGAGGCTGCTGGGTAAGCCCTTCTCCCCTTTATCCTAACCACGAGCTCCCCTCTCCTACCTGGCTTATCACAGGAGCCTGCGGCCGGCCTCCCCGCTTTCCAGGCCAGCCTTCATGTGGTTTCCAGAGGGATTTCTTTTTGTTCTGACGCACCAAGCTTTCTTGTGTGTTTTTTTTTTTTTGCAATTCAAAATATTTTCATTATGCAACATTTCAAACGTTCTGAAAAGTACAGAGAATAACAGACACCCGTGTGCCCACAACCAGATCTCACAGATGTTAACATTTTGCCGTCTTTGCTTCAGCTCTCGCTTTAATTTTAAAGAAGGAAAATGTTAGAGATGCAACCAAACTGCCCCCTCCCACAACCGCTTTTCTCCCCTCCCCCACACACAGCTGTTCTCTGGACAGACCTTCCCCTGTCCCCTCTTCTCCCCATGACCCCAGACACATTTCTGTCATAGAACTTGTCACACTGTAAGAACTAAGTTTTTGGTTTTGTTTTTTTTTTAAGATTTACTTGTTTTATCTTTTGGCTGTGATGGATCTTTGTTACTGCACATGAGCTTTCTCTAACTGTGGTGAGCGGGAGCTACTCTCCAGCTGCAGTGCACCGGCCTCTCGCTCTCGTGACTTCTCTTGCTGCAGAACATGGGCTCTAAGGCTTGGGCTTCAGTAGTAGCTGCTTTCGGGCTCTAGAGCACTGGCTCAGTAGTTGTGGCACACAGGCTTAGTTGCTCCAGGGCAACTAAGAGAGATCTTCCCAGGGAGATCTTCCCAGACCAGGGATCGAACCAGTGTCCCCTCCATTGCAAGGCAGATTCGTAACCACGGGACCACCAGGGAAGCCCCAGGAACAAACTGTTGATGTGGCTGTTGCCTCCCTCGAGGGTCACAGCACGTCACACTTGCCTTCATATATCTGTGCTGGGCAACCTTGTTATGTAAAGGACTCCAGAGATGCCTTGGCAACCAGGCAGATGCCTGACCCAAGCATTGTAGGTCCTTGGAAAATAGCTGTTGAATAAATGATTGTGAGTGTTCTAGAAATACTTACTGAGCTCTAGTGAACAGGTGACCCAGTGGTCACACCATCTCCTGGCTGTATAACACGGCACCACCTTTCCCCACTTCATATGCTTACTTACTGAATGGCACACCAGCACCCCCACTGCCTGTGGGCTGTGAACACCCCATTCCTCCTGCTGGGGAAATGAGGACCCAGCCGTTCTGATTGTCCAGAAACCTTCAGTAGCTTGCAGTTCCACGATTCTTAAAATCATGAGTGTGGGAGAAGCCAGAATCTGTCACTATGAGCAGTCTAGTCCTGAATGAAGAAGTTGCAGAGCTAGTCACAGCTATAAAGCCCAGTCTGAAGGCACCATTAATTAAGAGTGGAGAGACTGGCAAGGTCATCTTACACATCCCCTGGCCTGGAGGCAAGGCCACCCCCACAGGGTTTCCCACAGAAGAAAACCTGCCTGGTTTGTGTGGCCTTTGAAGGACCTCTCCCCTAGGAAATGCCTTTTTCTGTCAGACCTACACGTTGGCAGGAACCTGTTTCTTCTTGGTCTGTCCGTTCAAGTCTAAATCATGACTGTAATCAGTACTGAATACCTGTGCCGGCCCTGGGGCATCCGCAAAGCCCAGGGTGGCACCTGCCCTTACACATTCCTGGGATGTGGTGGTCTCACTGAACAGTGAGCCAGGGAGCATGGGGCCTGGCCCCCCTGGGTCTGCAAGAGCTCCCTCCACGGTCTCTGCACACGCTCTGGCCCCTTCCCTCCCTTTCTTCACGGGGCAGCCACGGTGATCCTTGCAGATGGTCCGTCTGGCACCTGTGTTCATCAGCGAGGGACCCACGGGGAGCAGGTGCCCCCCCACTCAGGGTTTTGGTTTTGTTGTGTTTTACTTTACTTGGCTGTGTCAGGGCCTGGTTGCAGCACACGTGGTCTCTGTTGCCTCACGTGGGATCTTTCATTACAGTGCGTGAACATTCCAGTTGGGGTGCTTGGGCGCAGTGGTGATGGGCTTAGTTGCTCCTTGGTCATAGGATCTTAGTTCCCCAACCAGGGATCAAACTCGTGTCCCCTGCATTGCAAGGCGGATTCTTAACCAGTGGACCACAAGGGAAGTCCCCCGCTCAGGGTTTTAACTGAGGGATTAATGAGCAGGCTGGGCTTCCCTGGTGGCTCAGACGGTAAAGACTCTGCCTGCGATGCAGGGGTTCGATCCCTGAGTCAGGAAGACACCCTGGAGGAGGGCATGGCAACCCACTCCATTCTCACCGGAGAATCCCATGGACAGAAGAGTCTATGACAGCTACACTCAGTGGGGTCACAAAGAGTCTGACAGGACTGAGCAGCTTTCACTAATAGGTGTGGGTGGGTTAAAGGAACCAGTACAGGAAAGTGAGGCATCCAGGAACCAGCGATATCAAGGAGCCATTACCCACCACGAGGGATGAGGTCAGAGGGGATGGGAGACATTTCTGGGAACCGGAGAGAAGTGTGCCTCTGGGAGAGGGGCCACCCCTCAGAAGCTGTGGCTGTTGAGCAAAGGACCAAGGACTACAGCCACTGTCCTAGCTCGACAGGCAGGCAGTGCAGAGAAGTAAAGACTCCACCCTCTCTCCTCTCCCCTCCCCTGTATCCTGGCCGGGGGAACCGGGTGAGGTGACACAGCCTGTGGAGACCCACCTTCCGGGGCGCTGGACAGGGCCGAAGATGGCAGAGACTGGATCTGGGGGTGCAGACGGTAACTAGCTGGTCCGGATGGCCGAATGGGTGCTGGTTCCACACTCAGGATGCAGAATGCTTGCTCACTGTCAAGGCGCTGCCGGGCCTGGTCCCTGCTGACCTCACCAGCCTTCCACCCTTTACTCTCTGGGCTCTGGTGCGCCAGCCCCATCTCACCCTGCGTGTACTCTTTCCTGTTGGGTCTTAAACCTCCCCTGCCCGTTGCCTGCAGCACCCTCCCCTCCGTTCTCCCTTGGGCTCCTACTCAGCCTCAGACCCCAGCTTAATTTCTCTTCCTCATCGCGCCACACCCCGAACACTAACTCCCCCGGGCACAGGGAGGGGGCCATCCCGGAAGTGCTGGTCAGACACGCGCCCTGGTCAAGTTGGGTGGAGGGTCAGGAGTCAAAACCTAAACAGCCCTTACACTGTGGTTAGGTTTCATGAATAGGTTTTCATCAAGAATCTCATTACTTTAAAAATTGTCTTACAGTATGTAGTCTCTCCCCAACACCATAATCACAAGCTGACATTTTTATAGAAGGTGAATGCGGTACTCTTTAAGAAAAACCTTCTTTTTAGTACTTCATACTGTTTTTTAATTGTCATTGTGTAAACAGCATAACTCACGCATGGTTATCTCCCGAGGCTTTTTTTTTTTTTTCTTAATTGGCTACATGACGCAGCATGTGAAATCTTAGTTCCCCAACCAGGGATTGAACCCATGCAGTAGAAGTGCAGAGTCCTAACCCCTGGACTACCAGGGAAGTCCCTGGAGCCTCTTTAAATTAAATGTCTTCCCCTGCTCCCTGGGTTCTCACTCTGGCAGCTGTGATAGCCTTTCTGCCTGATTTTTGAAGTCATCTGCCCTGTAAGCCGCTGAGTCTCGAGCTGGTCATTACAGCATCGTAACTGAGATTCATCAGATATGAACCCGACTTACCAGCCAGTCTCCTACCTCCCAGCTCAAGGCTGCCTCCACCTGGGAGCCTTGGTGGATGGGGAGCCTGCGTCCCTCTCCTCTGTTTCTCCGGCTTGCACTTCCCCTCCCCCAGGCTCACTGCCAGTTGCTGACCTGTCCAGGGTGGGAGCACAAAGAGGAAACAGGAAGCGGAAAATTGTCACTGGAGCTGTGGTGACAGCTGCTGCAGGGACTCTCGAGTGCCTTTCTACCAGCTAAATAATTTCTGGACTCTGGGCTCTTCGGGGGCTCCCTGCCCTCCTTCCAGAAATCCCAGGCAGGAGCAGCCCCCAGTCTCCTTCCAAATGTAAGGGTAACCAAGGAGGCCCCTATTCAGGGAGGGAATGGCGATGACAGGCCCACTTTCTCCATGGATTTTCCTCCCAATAAGATTCTCCCTTACTAGTTTGTATCATGGGGGAGGAGATTCAGGAGTTTGGGGGAGAAGGTTTTAGATCATTTCTTTTAAACCTTCTTATTCAGTTGCTGTATGATTTCTGTCCTAATGGAAGCTCAGTTAAAACCAAAGTAGGGGACTTCCCTTGCGGTCCCATGGTTATGACTTTGCCTTCCAGTGCAGGGGGGCGGGTTCGACCCCCTGGTTAGGGAGCTAAGATCTCACATGCTTCATAGCCAAAAGACCAAGACATAAAACAGAAGCAATATTGTAACAAATTTAATAAAGATTTTTTAAATGGTTCACATCAAAAAAATCTTTAAAAAAAAAAAAATAACAAAGTAGGAAGGGTCCTATCCTAACGTCCCCTTGCAGTGAATTTTTTAAAATAACCTTTGTAGAGGTGATTTACAAAGCATGTTCATGTTACGCAAGTGTCTGAAAGAAGTAAATCACAGAATGTTCCATATCAGTCTGATTTTGCTCCAGTAACACTGCTTAACGAACCACCCTGAAAGTCAGAGGCTCACAGACATCATTTCTTCTTGGCTTACTCATCCGCAGGTTGGCTGAGGCCTGGCTGGCCCTGGCTGCATGTCTGCTCCAGGCGCCTTCATTCTCCTGGACCAGTAGACCCCAGAGCATGTTCACCTCATGGTGAGGGCAGGTACATAGGAGGCAGGCCTGGCGCACATGCATGTGTGTGCCATTGCTCGAATGCCATTAGCCAAGTCAAATCTCATAACCAAGCTTAGGATCAACAGGGTGAGGATGTACCTGTCCATAAAGGTAAAGAGGAAGGGATGAATCTTTGCAAAACTATAATTTACCACAAGCCTGTGTATGTATGTAAAACAAGAATAACTGAAGTTGAACAGTGCTAGTGTTATAGCCACGCGTTCCGGGAAACAAACTCATTCAGAAGGACAATGCAGATAGTGGAGTGCAGTTTATTACACCGGCGGGCCCAAGGCAGAGTCTCCTCTTAGCCAAGGACCCCAACCAGCATTTGTGAAAATCTTTTATACCCCATGTATACGTGTCCAAACCCACCACCCCAAATTCCTTGAAACTTACATAAACAAAGGAAGGGTAAATACAACTGCAATAGCCCCATCATTCACGTGTTATGTGTTCAAACAGTTAATAATCAATAAGCCCGCAGTTACATTTCCAGACAGTTAATAATCAGTAAGCCCGTGGTCACGTTCCAACCAGTTAATAATCGATAAGCCTGTGATTACATCCTGATAGATACAGAAAAAATTTATGACCTGTCCAGAGGCAGGGGTGATTACGGTATGTTTTCTCTTAGGTGATGAGTAACCTGGATACGATCTTCAAGGTTCCCCTGTCCAGAGGGGGTCTTCTCCTTCCATTGTCGTTCCCACAGGCACTAAGCAGAGAGTTCAGAGTCCACTGGAGAGGTGGCCGAGCACGATCAGCACGGACAGGCCTCAGATTGAGTCCAGGCCCTATGAATTCCTTCTTCACTAGCAAAATTATCCTTTGAATATCAGTAGATGTTGTAACATCTGCTGCATAGGAAGTGAAAACGCATATGTGTGCCCTAAGACTTTCTTGTTTCCAGTCTAGTCAGCTGGCAACTTATTAGATGTAGACTTCCTTTCTTAGAAAGGAAACTCCTCTTTTTGATCATGTATTTTCTTTCTAAAGGGACTCTCAAGTGCCTTTCTTTCCACCATCTAAATAATTTCTCCCTCCTCAGTATGGCAGTGACCCGATCCAAAGACGCTCCTCCTTTCGGCCCCCCGATCCCCAGCGGAACCACATTCCGAAAATCTGACGTCTTCAGAGACTTCTTGCTGGCCAAGGTGATTAATGCCGAGAACGCTGCGCACAAGTCTGACAAGTTCCACACCATGGCCACCAGGACCCGCCAGGAGTACCTCAAGGACCTGGCGGAAAACTGTGTCTCCAACACACCCATTGACTCCACCGGCAAGTTCAACCTCATCTCCCTGACCTCGAAGAAGAAGGAGAAGACAAAAGCCCGGGCAGGCGCCGAGCAGCACAGTGCCGGGGCCATCGCCTGGAGGGTGGCGGCTGAGGACTATGCGCAGGGTGTAGAGATAGACTGCATTTTGGGAATTTCCAACGAGTTTGTGGTGCTCTTAGACCTACGCACTAAGGAAGTGGTGTTCAACTGCTACTGCGGGGATGTCATCGGCTGGACCCCAGACTCCTCGACAATCAAAATCTTCTACGGGCGAGGGGACCACATCTTCCTCAAGGCCTCTGAGGGTTCTGTGGAGGACATAAGAGAAATTGTCCAGAGACTGAAGGTAAGGGAGAGAGACCCTCAAGGTGCAGCAGTTCTGTGGTCTGGCAAAGGCCTTAGGAACCACTGAAGTGCCTCCCTGAGCCCAGTCAGTTGGGCCAGGACACTCATCGGCCCCAAGAGAATCAGAATTGTCACTTTACATACCAGGGGTCTAGTGAGTTCTGCAGCCTGGGTTCTCCCTGAGGAAGGCTTGGGCCAAAGATCTGAGGCTCTCCGTGTCATAACCTTGAGAAGACAAAAGGCTTATTTACTCACTCTAGATGTTTAAACTCATGTTAAAAATGTAAGGATACTTTCCAGAAGAATTAAAATACTGGATTGGCCAAAAAGTTCATTTGGGTTTTTCTGTACCTTCTGACAAAACACCGAATGAACTTTTTGGCCAACTCAACAGAATGGAAGACTTCCAGACCTTTAAAATACAGGGGTGGAAGCAGGATATTGGGGGTGGGGGTGTAAAAAAAGCATAAGAAAAAAACTCAAAATTATGTGGCAGGAATAATTCCACATCAGTAATCACAATAAATGTAAGTGATTTAACATTCTTTGTTAAAGAACAGAGACTCACAGTCTAGATTAAAAAATCTTACCCTAACCTCTTGGCACCTCAGGCTCAGACAGCTGCCAAACCAAAGGTCGCAGATTGGTTTCAAGTCAGATGCTAGTTTAGTTAGTAATGGTTGTTGGAAGTGTTGGGCTAAGAAGTACTAAGGCTACCTCAGAGCCCTGGGTGAAGGAACGCTGTGGTCAGTGATTGGCTCTCAGTGGGTTTAACAGAATGTCAGGCATGAAATAGAGAAGGCAGTATATCACAGGAGTTAACAACATAAGTTCTTAAGTCAGAAGACTTGGCTTCAAGTCCCAGCACTGCCACATACCAGCTGTGTCACCTCACCACGTTACTTAAGCACTGGGTGACTCAGTTTTCCCATCTGAAAAATGGGAACAGTGATCATCCTACATCATATGAAAGTTTTAAGGACTGGATGAGTTATGTTGCCCAGGCAAGCTGGCCTGACGTAGGAGGCTGTGATCTCCAGAGGCCAGGATCACAGCCAGTTCACCCTTCTCGACTTTTGCACTCATTCTTTGAGTTCAGGTGGGATTGGTAAAAGACTAGCTTTCAGCTTCCCTGAGTCCAAACTTCATGCCCCACCTTAAACTACAGCAACAGCTAGTGTGTAGATTTCCCATTAGGATGTGAGGTCCGTGAACAAGGGCCTCTGTTTTGCCCACTTGCTTATGGTGGTTATTAAATGCTGATTAGTCGATTAGCTGAATAAGATGATTGACCCCTGATTGTGTGCTCATGAGCGATGATCTCACAGCCCTCCACCCACCCTGTGGAGTGTAGGCACTGTTTTTATCCCCATTGGACTCATGAGGAGCATGCCGCTCAGAGAGGTCACACAGCCAGTAGGTGGCAGACTGGGATCTGAATCCAGATTTTTCTGACTCCAAAACCTACTTATGCCCACACTTGAGACTAACGACTAACTGCTTACTCGACTAAGTGCAACTCAACATGTGAAAGTCAACATGTCTAAGAACAAGCTCCTGATTTCATTGCCCTTGCCTCCCGGGGTTCTCCTGTCTGATCAGAGAACAGGCCCCTCGCATGAGTGGAATCATGAGTAAGCCTCAGCACCAGCCTCAGTCCTCTGTCTCGCATACCGACGTCCAGTCTGTCAGCTCCACCCCCCGAAGGCAGACTCTGCTACCCCTGCCCCTTCTGCAGCCCCTCCTGGCCTGTCCAGTAGCCTCCTCACTGGTCTCCTTTGCCTCCTTGCTTGCTTCCCTGGGGTCTGTTCTCAGGAAGGTTGTCCGAGGGATCTGATCTTGTGCCTGCTCTGCTCAAACTCCTCAGCTCATCCTAGGTAAAAGCCCAGTTCCTTATGGTGGCCCGTGAGGCCCTACATGGCCTGGCTGGCTGTCACTCTTGTCTCTTCATTACTCTCTCTGCTCCAAGAACACAGACTTCTATGTCCAGAGTGGGCTTGTCAGGCAGTCAGCCTCAGGGCTTTTGCACTGCCTCTGCCCTCTCGCTGGAACACGTTCTTCAACCCCACATGCCTCCCTCCCCTTCTGCATGTGCTTATTCAAAGGTCACCTATCAGTGAGGCCTTGTTATCCAGAATTGTAAAGACCCCCTCCACAGCCTGGCATTGAGCTTATCCCGCCCCCTGCCCCTGCTTTAACTTTCACAGCAGCGCCTACCACCGTCTGATGTGTGTTTTTACATGTCTGCTGCGTCCTCAGCGCCTGGGCCAGCGTCTCATGTGCAGCAGACGTTCAATGACCGTGGACTGCGTGCACGCATGCCTGCTGTCTGTGGTGACAGCAAGAGTGGCCACTCACAGGGCCAGTCATCTGACTCTTTGCAGCCTTGCACAGCCTTGCATTTCTTCTTCCCAAAACCCAGTGAGGGAGATACTATTATTAACTCAGTTCACGGGACACAAGGGTGATGAACTTCAAAGGGAAGAAGCGTTTTGACTCCCAAAGCAGTGGCTATGGTCTGGGATGAAGCCAGTCATGAGTTTCTCTTTTGAGGCACTAAACTGTAGACTTTCCTTTCAGACAAATTTGTTTTAACTTTTTAATCATGGAAAATTTCAAACAGACGCAAAAGTAGAGAAACTCACATTGTGAACCCCTAGGCTTATCACCAGCTTCCGTAGTTATCAGCCTGGGGCCCATCTTGTTTCTCCCTTTCCCTCTCTCCCTTCCCTTCCGCTGATAATTTTGAAACAAATCCTAGACATCCTGTCATTTCATCAGTAAATGTGTAAATATTTATCTCTAGAACATACAGCCTCTGAAAAATAACTGTTTTGCCTATTATATATAGAAAATGAATAATAATTCCTTATTGACCTGTAAACATGTTGGGCCATGAAATCAATTACTGGATCTCAGTAGGCAGTTTTCAAAGACAGGGTAGAAAAGAATGACGCACTGAGGAGGCACTTGGTCTCATGGAGCCTTGTCCCAGTTTCACATGTTTCCTCACCTCCCAAATTCTCACTATCCAGACTAGCCAGGAACAGATGTGTTTACATCTTCAGGTAAGTCCTTCACCATCCACACTCGTTTCTTGCTGCCCACACTCGGGAATGTCTGTGTGGATTGCAAGGAATATTTTTGTGTGTGTGGATACATGTGTAAATGTATGATTGCACAGCGTGGCTTGTGACATAAGATTCTTACTGTGCAGCTCTAATGAGTACATCAGATAGCATCATTTCTACCCAGGGAATGACTTCTCACAGGAGATGTCAACCATTACACAGATGCTTTCCTTAAGGCAGTTTTCAGCAGGCAGATCTTGATGTAACTTGGTTAACAGCTCCGGCTTATTAAGTTAATCTTTTTATTCCAAGAAGAGGAGGGAATCCCTCAGGATATGCTGAAGCTCTAGGTGTTCTGTTCAGTGTCTTATCCTATCTGTGGTCATAGTTAGCATGGCGGAAGTCTCCCACAGGAAGAAGGGAATAAATCAGAAAGAAGCCCCTCCCTGTATGGTCTGCTTGGCTTCAGGATGGGGGACAGTCTGAGGCGGAGGTTCGAAAGGGGTTTTTGCCTTACAGAATGAGGTCCTGGAGTAAAGAACACGGCGCCGAGCCCCCAGCCTAGAAAAATTCACAGGGTCTCTGGTCTCTGGCTTCTCCAGCTTACTCTGGTTACAGTCACCGTATCCATCATGGCTTCAGACAACAAAGGTTTATCTCACTCATGCCATGTGTCCATCTCAGGTTGAGCTGGAGTCTGTGAACTCACAGACCTTAGCTGACCAAACAGGCGCTCTCTGGAATAATCCTAGTGGCCGTGGCAGAGGGGAAAGGCTTGAAGAGCGTCTCGAATTGGCAGTGAAATGCCCCAGCCCAGAGTATGCCAGTCCCATTCACAACTCATTGGCCAAAACAAGTCTTGTGCATGCATGCTAATTTGCTTCAGTCGTGTCTGACTCTTTGTGACCCCATGGTCTGTAGCCCTCCAGGCTCCTCTGATCATGGGATTCTCCAGGCAAGAATACTGGAGTGGGTTGCTATTTCCTCCTCCAGGGGATCTGCGTAACCCAGGGATTGAACCCGAGTCTCTTATGTCTCTTGCATTGGTAGGCAGGTTCTTTATCCCTAGTGCCACCTGGAAAGCCCAAAACAAGTTGCAGAGACCACCAACCATAGAGAGGGTGGGAGAGGGCATGTGGAGAGCACGACTCGTGGCCGCTGCCTCTGTGTGAGGTGTCCATGTTTCTCCACGAGTCAGGAGCCCAGGCTCCTGTACCCTGACATCACCTGGGAAGGGGGAGGGGGAGAGGGGGGGGTCTTTGGCCTCAAAAGGGCAGAATCTCCCCCCAAGAGCTGCCTCTGCTCCCCCCGAGCAGCTTGTGAAACTGGACCCTGCATGTGGCCCACAGGTGATGACCAATGGCTGGGAGACTGTGGACATGACCCTGCGGCGGAACGGGCTGGGGCAGCTGGGCTTCCACGTGAAGTACGACGGGACCGTGGCCGAGGTGGAGGATTATGGGTTTGCCTGGCAGGCCGGCCTGCGGCAAGGCAGCCGGCTGGTGGAGATCTGCAAGGTGGCCGTGGTCACACTGACCCACGACCAGATGATCGACCTGCTACGCACCTCCGTCACCGTCAAGGTGGTCATCATCCCGCCTTTCGACGACGGCACACCCCGGAGGTAAGTCTGTCCCCCCTGGAGAGGTCGGCAGCTCCCTGGGCACTGGCCCTTGGGACCCTTCCTCAGCCGGTGGTGATAATGGTGTCAGGGTCCAGGTCAACATCTGTGGAACCCCTCCTGTAGGCGGTCATGGTCTAAGCTCTGCACGTGCGTGCTGTCCCCTCTGGCCCCCACCACAGCCCCATGAGGTGGGCACCCTCCTTAGTCGCACATAGCATTCAAGTCCTTGCCTGAGGGAGTTCCCTGGCGGTCCAGTGCTTAAGACCGCTTCCACTGCAGGGGGCTTGGGTTTGATCCCTACTTGGGGACCTGAGATCCCATATACCCCGAGGCATAGCCAAAAATAGTGGGAAAAAAGACCTTGCCTGAAGGAACAATGTGCTTCATCATTTGTTCAGCACATATTTATTGAGCCCGTACTGTGTACACACTCCATTTGAAGTGTTGAGTAGGATTTAGCAGTGAACAAAATAAAAGCACCCATTCCCTTGAGTTTGTGTCCTGACAGGCAGTCGTTAAATAGGTGTGTAACACAGGACCAGGCAGTGAAGAGCTCTGAGGAGAAAGAGCAGGGTCATAGAAGGGGCTAACAGGTGGTCAGGGGAGGCTTCTTGGGGGAGGCCGCCATGTGGTTTTCCAGGTCAGCAGCACCCAGACCATGGACAGGCCAGGGCAGGGTCTGCAAAGTGTCAGCGTCTGTCGGGGGGGAGGGTTCCTGCAGCTCAGGGAGCGTGGTGTGGAGCACGGTGAGCAAGGCTGGGCGTGGGGGCAGACTGGGGCCCTTCCTGGACACAGCGCCGAGCTTCAGATTTGTTCACTGGGAAGCCAGTGCAGGATTTGTTTCTTTTTGTTTTGTTTTAATGGGATATTTCAAACATTCTTCTCTAGTATTATTTGACGGCATCGGGTCTCAGTTGCCGCACAGGGCATGTTTGTTGTGGCGCGTGGGCTTAGTTGCTCCCTGGCTTATGGCATCTTAGTTCCCCAACCAGGAGTCGAACCTGCATCCCCTGCCTTGGGAAGGCAGATTCTTGACCCCTGGACCACCAGGGAAGTCCCATATTTCAAGCATATTAATAGCATGCTGAGTCTCCTGTTTCAACATTTGTCAACATGTGGCCAGTTCTTATTTTGTTTTTGTTTCTTTTTAATCCCATATCTCTCCACCTTAGATTATTTGAAGCAGTCTCACTCCTTCGATTGTATCTCTACTCAGTCAGGACCTTTAAAAAATTTAACAGACTGTCTCAACTCCCCCATCCACCTTTAACTTCTTTTGTACCAGAGAGAGATTTTTAAAAAGCAGTTGCTCTGTTCATCAGGGTTTTCCTGTGGCATTTGGTTGATGAATCTCTTTTTAAAAAATCTTATTTTTTTTCTTATGGTTTGTTTCGGGAGGAAACCGGGCTACTTGTTTTTCAGAGTTTCCCGCTTCCTGGATTTAGCTGCTTGCATTCTCCTGGTGTCCTTTAACCTGTTCTTATAGCACGTGTATTTCCCGTAAGCTGGAGTTCGGCTTAAAAGCTTGATTGGATTCTGGTTGGATTTCCTTTTGTTTTTTTTCCTTAAGATTTTTTTTTGATGTGGACCATTTTAAAGACTTCATTGGATTTGTTACAATGTTATTTCCGGTTTATGTTTTGGTTCCTTGGCTGTGAGGCATGTGGGATCTTAGTTCCTCAACCAGGGATCAAACCCACCTTCCCTGGCTTGGAAAGCGAAGTCTTAACTGCCAGTAAGGTCCCTGAACTTGTCTTGGTCACAGCACTTCCCAGGTGTACACCCATCAGGAGGCACCACATATCTGGCTGTCCCTGTGTGAGTGATACTAGGGGTGGTCAGAAGGTTCCAAGGGTGGCAGCCTGACCCTAAATGCTATACGTTTCCCCTCAGCTCTCAGCAGCCATTTGTGATCCTTGTCTGGGTCCCCTGTGTCATGACCGGTGACACTCAAGTGATGTCCTCAGTTCTATCCTTCCTTCTTTATTTTTTAAAAAATGTATTTACCTATCTTTGTGCTGCGTCTTTGTTGCTACACACGAGGTTTCTCAAGTTGCCATGAGCGGGGGCTGTTCTCTAGTTGCAGTGCCTAGGCTTCTCATCGCAGCGGCTTCCCTTGTCGCGGAGCACAGGCTCTGGGGCACGCGCGCTTCAGTAGTTGCCGCTCCTGGGCTCTGGAGCACAGCGTCAGTAGTTGGGGCTCACGGGCTTAGTCGCCCCTCAGCATGTCGGATCTTCTCAGACCAGGGATTGAACCCGCGTTCCCTGCCTTGGCAGGCGGATTCTTAACCACCAGTCACCAAGCAAATCCTTTCTTCATTTATTGGCTGGAATTCTTCCAAAAAGAACATTCCTTCAGCAACCATTTGATTCCTCTCAGATATAATTTGTTCAGGGAAGGCAGGATAGATGTGATTCTGAGAAGAATGAATTGGTACCCTAGCAACCTCCAGCGATGACTTAGAAACAGTGGTTCTAGAATCACTACATCTCAAGTGCCAGAAGCACAGCTGCACAGAGGACAGTCCAGGCCTGGGCTGATGAATGGATTGGGGAAGACAACCAATAAGAAAGTAAGCCAGTGAGATGGTTCACATAGTCCAAGCGGTAATCACTGGGCATATCAGGAAGGCAGACCTGCAGGGAGGTTGCCTGTGTTTGAATCCAAGCTCCTCGTCTTATTAACTGTGACCCTGGGCGAAGGTCCCCGCCACTCTGTGCCTGTTTCCTCATTTATAAAACAGGGACGTTAATGGAGCTTTTGCCCAGAGGTGGCTGTGAGGTTGGAGGAGGGGAGGCCCACAGCACACAGGACAGGACTTGGCCTGTAGGAGGCACTCAGAGGACACCAGCTGTGAGGTCCTGGGTGTGAGGCGCATTAAGGGCCGGACCTGACGTTGGACTCGGGGGTCAGGGCAGGCCTGAGGGTGGGAAGGAACCAAGAGACAGGCCCCGTGGGGAGGGGAGGGTAAGAACAAGAGGCCCTTGGGTTGTTGACGGACCAGAAAGAGGGTCACGTGGCTGGAAGAGGTGAGCCAAGAGAAAGGCACTCGATGAGGGGATACTGAGAGCTTATACGCATGACCTCCCAAGGCTGGTGTGATCCCCGGTTTACAGATCAGAAAACTGACAGCCAGAGTGGGTCACTGCCTTGTGCAGAGTTGCGTGGCCAAGTGGCAGAGTGGCTCGTTTGCTCTAAGTGGCAGAGCAAAACTCAATCCAGGTTTCCCCTCTCTGTGTATTCTGCTGCCTCTCAAAGCAGTCTCGAGCTATCGGCATGTGAGTCCTGGCTGCACCCTCCCACCTTCTTGAGTCTTGCTTGCTCTGAACTTGGTGGGGACAGTTCTGGGCAGGGTTCAACCCTGCCACAACCCAGGGCTTAGCCACCCAGGTGCCAGTCCCCTAGCCTTGGGACTCCAGTCAGGCCCCAGGCGTCCCCTTCTCCCAGCCCTCTTCCGGGGCCTCCTCCACCCCTGCACGGGGCCAAGGCCGGGCCACACCTTCACTGAGCTCTGCAGGGGCAAGTCAAGCTGAGGTAACCCTTCTGCCTCATTGCATACACACACAAACACACACAGACACACACAGTAGCAGCCCGCCTGTTCTATGACTTTGCAAAGCTCGGGAGCACCAGAGGCCACACAAATGTCCTTGGACCTGCAGGTAGGGACCAGCCGGGTGAAAGGCAGCATCTGCAGGCTCCCTTATCCAGTTCTGGGGAGACGAGGCCAAGGAGGGTGTGACCAGACAGACGGGTTCCACTTCCTGCCCTGTTTAGGAGGAAATCTCTCATCCGGCTCCCTTTACAAGGCGGCCACCGAGACGGGGCAGGTGTGGGTGGGGACTTGTGTGGTGTGTGTGGTTCTTCAAGCACAGAGGGGTCTGGCTGACCTCAGTTGCAGAGCTGATACCCCAGCTCTGCGGTTCCTCCAGCCTCTTGCTATGACCCTGGCCTCCTAGCGCAGGTGTCACGATAAGCTCTGAGGGGCAGCACGCCAGGATGAGCCCAGGCATTCTCCCTGCCACCGGCCAGGCTCTGTAGGGCCTGGGTCTGGACCCCAGGCTCTTCAGACACTGCATAGAGTAGAGCGGGTCATACTCACACCCCCAGACCATGAGGTTGGGGTTCTCTAGTGAGCCCTGCCCAGGTGGGCCCGGTAGCCTGGAGGGACGTCCCAGAGCCCCCGATGCGGTGTGTCATGGTGACCTGGCATGTTTGTACAGGCTCATCTCACTGTCCTGCCTGATGGGGAAGCTGATCCAGGACGCCTTTGGCCCTTGATTTGGATTCAAGACATCTGAAGGGGGAGGGGGTGCTCCTCCCTGAGAAGGGGAATTGAAAACCCCACAAGTGAGTGAGTTGGAGAAAGAGAAAGGAGTCCCCATGGCCTCCAGAAACTAGGCTGTTGGGAATCAAAGAGAAGGAGGCAGATAGGAAAAGTGGTCTGCAAACCTGGCATCCATGACCAGGCGTCTTCCGCGCATGGCTGAGAGGCTGGAGAGGGACTCTGTGCGGCATTGTTGGTCGAGCAAAAGACTAGAAGAAACCCTGGTGTCCAGCCATAGGAGACTGGCTAAGTAAATCCCAGGTCACCCATGTGATGGAGTAGTAATTGATTGTTTACAGAAAATACAGTGAGTCAAGAATATGTAAAAACCTGGCGGCTGTGGGTGCTTCTGGTGAGTGTAACTGGTGGACAGAGATGTCGTCTAATAACACTTTAATTTTTAAAAACAATCCCAAAACTGGATCCATGAAAGGAGCTTCTTAAACTTTCTCGTGTCAGCATCATCCCTGGCAACTTGGTAAAATGCAGCTTCCTAGGCCCCGCCTCAAAGAGGACTGTGATTCAGAGGAGCTAAGATGGGCCCAGGCATCTGCTTTCCTTTACTGAGCACTCGGGGTAATCTAGATGCTGATGGATCACAGGGAAAGAATTTGTTCCAGAGCCCCCAGGTGGGTGTGGCTGGACTTCAGAAAATGGAAAGAAGGCTTCAGCTTTTGAGCTTGTGGGAATGGCAGGCAGAGTCCACAGAATCAGCTGGAGAAGGCGACCACAGCAACAGCTCATATGTGTTAAGCACTTGGCATGAGCCAGGAGGCTTGCCACCACCCCCATTTTGCGGATGAGGAAACAGGCTCTGAGAAGGAAACTCCTGCACCCAAGGCTACATGGGCCATAAGCAGCAGAGCTGTGATCTGAACCATCTGTCTGCCTGAGGAGCCCTGGCTCTCCCGTCTTTCTGTGCTGCCCTCCAATGATTGTTTCCCTCTTTGAGGTCATGCCCAGGGACTCTTGGCCAAAGGTGGAGCTGTCAGTAACAGGGGCAGAAGTCACGGGCCCACGGAATCTACCCACTGGCTCCCAAACCACTGTCCCAGTGAGCTAGTGTATATGGTGGTTAAAGTTGTGGGCTTTCGGGTCAGCTTACTATCTTTAAATCCAGTTTCTGGGAATTCCCTGGTAATCCAGTGCTTTCACTGCCAGGACATGGGTTCAGTCCCTGGTGAGGGAACTAAAATTCTACAAGCCACATGGCACAGCCAAAAAAAGAAAAAAAAAAAAAAAGGATAAATCAATCAATTCAGTTTCTACCTCTTACTGGCTGTGTGACCTTGGATAGATTACTTAACTTCTCTGTGCATCAATTTGCTTTTCTCTTCAGTGTATCTACTGATAACAACCAGCAACAGAGATGAAGCAAAAGAGAGACTTTACTGGCTAATGCACCTAAGAAGACCGGGAGATAGGGCAAGATTGAAATGTGGCTTTATGCAGGGTCTTGGACATCTTCATCAAGAATCTCTCTCACCTGTCTCATTTTCTGCGTTGCTATCATTCTCAAGCCACCTCTTCCTCATCACAGCGCCAGCTTAGGTCTCCCCAGCTCAGCAGCTCAGTGAAATAGATCCTTTTCTTACCACCTACCCCCCACCCTTGCCCACCCCCCACCTCGCAGCAGTTCCAGAGTTGATGCTCACTGTCTTTGATTGGCTCAGCTTGGGGCACCTGACAATCCTGTGCCTGTCATCTCAAAGAAGCACTTCTGATTGGCTGGCTTGGGTCACATGCTCATACCTGGAGCCAGGAAGTGGGATCCACCCCACCCAGTGCACACAGACCTGTTCTCAGGAGAAGGGGGTGTAGAAGCTAGGCAGGCAGGAGCAGCGGGTCCATGGTGGTACCACCTCCACCTGGGCCTGGCAGATCTGCAGGTCCTGTTAGGTGTTAGTATGCTGTCATTCCTCACCTGGCACCTGGTGAGGCGTGGGCACCTACTGATCCAGAGAAGCTGCTGGAAGGCGCTACTGAATATCAGCTCCAACTCCAGTGCTGCGTGTCTGGCCCAGGTGCCCCATTCCTGGGTCACTTTCTGATGCCTCCTTAGCAGACATGACCTGGGTCCACAGCCACCACGACCACCAGATCTTTTGCCGGGTGACCCTGAAAGTGCCCTGGACTCCAGGGGGCTCAGGAGAACCCCAGAGGGTTGGCTTAGTGTGGGCCTGACAGCTTCCAGGCCCAGGGCTCCTACCAGCTCGGCTCCCACAGCTGCTGAGAGGTGGGTTTTGTGAGCACGGCCCCCTGCTCGGGCTCAGAGCCCCCTCCCATGCTGCACTGCAGCGGAGGTGGAGGACTCCAGCCCAGCCTGCGGAGCCCCCTGCCCTGAGCCAGGAACATTGCAGTGTGTGTGTCAGCCTGGTCTAGGGGGAGTCACAGGCCGTTCTGCATCTATTTCAAGGTTCTGGATTTTTCGTGCCTTTTTTTTTTTTCTAACCACCCTGCAAAGTAGGTCACCTGCTCCTCTTCCAGCTGCCTTTGAGCTTCTTTGGAACAAGGCAGATACTGTCCTTTGATGCCGAGGGCATCCGCCTTTCTGGCCCTGAGTACTGCCAAGGGAAGGCGGGGGGGCCGAGCCAGCCTGAGGAGGACATTGGCCAGCTGGAGGCCTGGGTCAGGTGAAGGGAGAGACAGGGAGAGAGGAAGAGGAGGAGACGGGGAGATGGAGTAGAGTGTGCCCAGCAGTCGGGGCCACTGTGCTGGACCCTGTCTGGGTTGAGGACACAGAGCTGCTCCATTTCAGACCAGTTTGAAGGGTCCCCACTCGGCCTTTAAAATAGAAGACTGTTCAGATCTGGGCTGCAAAGCTGCAGCCCTGCGCGCTGGTGGGCCAGGGCCTTTTCTGAGTAACGATGTTTTCCTTCCCAGGGGGTGGCCGGAAACATATGATATGAATACCTCGGAGCCCAAGACCGAGCCGGAGGGCCTGGCCCCGGGGGGCAGGCCCCCCTACCGCAGCAATGCTCCCTGGCAGTGGAGTGGGCCCGCGTCCCACAACTCTCTCCCCGCCTCCAAGTGGGCCGCCCCCGCCACCCCCGGACACGCCCAGTCCCTGAGCCGGCCCCCGAAGCAGACCCCCATGGTCCCCTTCCGGGAGTCCCAGCCCCTGCACAGCAAGAGGTAAGGACACCCCCACCCCCAACCCCATCCAGGGGTGCCAGCCCAGCCCCCACCTCCCTCCTTCCTTGAGTCCGCTGCCTTCTTCTCTCTCCTCCCCCTGTTGTCCGGCCTCCTCCTCTCCCTTACCTTCTCATTCTCTTGCCCCTCCCTTCCTCCTTGCCTTAAACTTGCCTTATGAGCCTCTGGAGCGTGGACATAGCTGGGGCGCTCAGCGCCTGCGGTTGGAAGTCCACCCTACTATGTGTGATTAAAACCATATATTTGTTTTAAAGGTCAAGGGACTGATAAGCACAAACTTTAGGAGAGTGATTACTTCTGGGGGAGACAGGGAAGTGGGGCATGGAGGAGCCCACCCATGGGTACTCATGGCCCCCATTCTAGCTCTCGGGTCGGGTGGTAACTTCAGGCAGTTTCATTTATTATGATGGCATGTACCTTACAGATAAGTGCTTTTGAATATATTATATATTTAAAAAAATAAAAATTTCTAAGAAATGAGAGAATACAACTTGCAGAGGAGAGTCTTGTCCCAGGCATGGGTAACCCGTCCAGCCTCTGTCAGGCTTCAGATGCTGAGGGGTGGGCTCAGTTGTGGTGGGAAGGAGGGAAGGGGTGTCCTGGCCTCCCCAGCCCTTTGCTCAGCAGCCCTGCCTCCATCCCCTCAGAGGAGAGCAGGTGAAGCCCACGGGTGTGGATTGGGCCGGGCTCTCCTCCTCGCTCACACCCACCCGCTTCCTCTTTCCTGTCTCTGTTCCAGGCCTGTCAGCTTCCCTGAAACCCCTTACACAGCGTCACCAGCAGGGGTCGACAAAGTCCCTCCCTACCGACAGCCTTCTGGGAGCTTCTCCACCCCGGGCTCAGCCACCTACGCGAGATACAAGCCATCCCCAGAAAGGTCAGACTCTCTTCTCTCTTTCCCGTTAAGGAATCTGATGAAAGCCAGCATCCTTCTTCCTCAGGAGATGCACTTACCTGACATACAGGTTTATTTGCCATTTTATGGGGCTCCTGGATTCCCCAGGGTCCTCAGAGGCCCGCTGGGATGGAGGGCTGTGTGTGTTAGGATGTGGGGCCAAGCCAGCCTGGCCAGGACGTGCCCTGCTGGTCATCACAGCAGCATTTAAGTTGCCATTTTTCTCAATGCCTGAATCTCTTGTCTGAGCACACCCCTTGCAACGCAGCTGGTATCTGCCTCCAGCCCGTGCTCCCCCCACACCAGGCCCCCAGCATTACCCAGTTTTCAGGGCCAGTCAGGCTTCAGTCCTGTCCCCTTCCCCAGTCTGGCAGCCAAGGGGATCTTCCCAACTCCTGCCTGGCTCCCTGTGCCCTTGGAATGAACCCAGTTTCTCTAGCTTACTCTCCGGAGGCCTTCCACTCCAGTGCCCTTGAACCTTCCTTCTCCCCTGGGGTACCTGTTTGAGGGGTGGCCACACCACTCCCCTGTCCTCGGGCCAGAGCCGTGCACCTCATCCTGGATGCCTCCCCTCCCCCCTCCCTCTGCTGCAGCCCATCCCTTCAACCTCTTGAGCATCTCTGCGCCCGCCCCCTGCTCCTTTCCCCAGTGCGCTGCCCTGGCCACCTCCCTGAGCCCCCAGCCTCCGTGCCACCTCCTCTAGTCCACCCCCCATTCAGTTGCCAGGGGGTCTTTGTCTGGCCACGTCTATCCCCTGCTCCACACCCCACCCCCACGTGTCCCAGAGCTCTCATGACGCAGCCTCCACGCTTCAGTGTGGCCACCGGGGCCCCTCCCCTGCCTCTCCAGCCTCGTGCAGTGCCCTGCACATCAGCCTCCCGAGCCCCTTCTCCCATCCAAGTACTAACCAGGCCCATCCCTGCTTAGCTTCCGACATCAGACAAGGTGGGGCGAGTTCAGGGTGGTATGGCCGTAGACCCCAGCCACTTCTGATCTCCTAGGCAGGCTGTGTGCTTTTCAGATTCCTCCCTGTGTTCTTCCTTCCACCCGGAAGTTCTTCATGATCTTCACCCCCCACAGACTCCCCAGACCCCACTCTTCCAGCATGAGTGCTGATGCTCCTCCAGGAAGCCTTCCCTGTACCCCCACCTCCCATACAGTGACATGCTGCCCCCTGTGCCTTTCACTTCCGTTTGTCTTTTCCTGACGATGGCCTTGAGTCCTCTCCATCCTGTTAGCCCAGGGAAGTGTGTGTGCATGCATATTCATGCATGTGTGCATGAACAGGCTTGCTGCTCTCCAGTGTATAACACTTTTCTTCTTAGGAGCACCATCACACAGTTCAGGGCTGGTAGATCCTTGGTATATATTTGATGAAAGGATGGAGTAAGTGAGTTAGTTTAAATAGCATGCCTCAATCAGACTCACCCAGAGGGAGGACTTGTTAAAATACCGATGACTGGGCCTCACCCTTGAGTTTCCAGCTTGGTAGGACTAGGGTAGGACATGCGATTCCAAGGCTGCCAGCCCAGGGAACACACTTCGAGAGCTACCACACTAAACCACTGCTTGATTCTAAGCCTCTGTTGTAAAATTGGGGGAAACATACTCTTTAATCTTCTGGTAGCCACCATTCAGCTCTCAACTGCAGTGGATCCCAAGAGCCCTCTGTGTTGCGGGTGTCAGGAGAAATATTTGAGCTACTTACCCCAGGGGTTCCTGTTATCAGCACCTGCTATGGTGAGAAAAGGTCTCAGAAGGGATCCACACTCTGCCAAGAGCTCTGATAGACTCAGGCCTTGAACGAGTGAGCTCAGCCCAACCCTAGGTCTAAGCTGGCTACCCAGAGCAGGTGGTATCTGAATAGGACTTTGAGAGATGAATAGGAGTTTGCCGCAGAGAAGAGGGAGAAAGTCATTCCAGACAGAGCAGAGGCCACAGACATCAGTAAGCAGAACGGTGTGGAATGTAGGAGGAATGGAGAGGGGTCTGAGGTGTGGGGGCACCTCGGTGGCAACAATGGCTGAGGCTAGAAGTGGCAGTTGGCATGGAGCCATCAGCCTAGAATAGAGGTGGTGGGGATGATGCTATTGGTAATTCCAAGGAGCTTTTTTTCCCCCCAAAGTCCTGGTTGTCCCCCCTCCTATCTTATTGCTTTTAAACTATTTGAATAATTTTAGATTCACAAGAAGTTTAAAAGAAATGTATAGAGCCCTCCTTGAATCCTTCACCCAGCCTCTCCAAATGTTAACATCTTGTATAACTGATACAATATCAAATCAGTTGACATTGGTACAATCCACAGTGCTTATTCAGAATACACCAATTACCTGTGTGTGTGTAGCAGTGTGGAGTTTTGTCCACAGTTAAGACTCAACTGTGCCATCACCATGAAACTCCTTCTGGCTATCCCTTTATAGCCACACTCATCCCCTCCCCCATCCCTCTGGCAACCAGTAATCTTTTCTGGGTCTCTTACTTCATGAATGCTATATAAAAGGAATCACACAGTATGTGCCCTTTTGTAATTGTTTTTCTCTCAGTTGAGAGTCATCCACATTTTTGCCTGTATCTGTAGTCAAATCCTTATTATTGCCAAGTTATATTCGGTGGTGTGGTACCATTGATGAATATTCAGGTACTTTCTGGGTTTGGGCTGTGCAAATATTCATGCTCTGAACATGCGTGAAAATAAGTTTTCACTTCTCTGCAATAAATGCCCAAGAATGCAGTTGCTTGCCAAAATATAGAAACAACCTAAATGTCTGTTGACAGATGAATGGATAAAGGAAATGTGGTGTAGTATACACAATGGAATATTATTCAACCATAAAAAGAGGAAATCCTGCCATTTGCAATAATGTGGATGAACCTTAAAGGCATTATGTTCAGTGAAATAAATCAGAAAGACAAATACTGTGCAGTATCACATGTGGAATGAAAAAAGTCAAACTCAAAGAAACAGAGTAGATAGAATGGTAGTTACTTGGGGGTGGGGGCAATGGGACAATGTTGGTCAAAAGGCACAAACTTTGAGTTATAAGATGAATAAGTTCTGAGGATTTCACGTGTCGCATGGTTGGCTGTAGTTAATTCTGTACTGTACAGTTAAGATCTGCTAAGTGGGTAGATCTTAAACATTCTCACCCCAAAGAAAGATAACTATTTGAGATGTTAGATGTGGTGATTGTGGTAATCATTTTACAGTGTATACATATATTAAATCATTACATTGTACAACTTTAAGTATATTATGATTTTATTTGTCACACCTCAGTAAACCTGGGGGAGTGTGGGGAGATGTTTCTCCAAGTGCTACTTAACTCGACAAGTTGAGAGCATTATTATTTCAGTGAAAGGGTGTGCTGACCATTCTGTATTGTGTGTAGAAAAAAAGTGTTTAGGAAAAAAAAGAAAAGAATACAATTGCATAATGTGTGGTAAGTCCATTTTTAGTTTTAAAAAGAACTGCCAAACTATTTTCCAGAGTGGTCGTACCATTGTACATTCCCACTGGCAAGCTGTGAGTCATCCAGTTTCTCCCTGTCCTCATCACTATCTGGTGTCATCGCCACTTTTCACTTTAGCTATTCTCATAGGTGTGTGATGATAGCTCATTGTGGTTTTAATTTGCATTTCTCCAGTGGCTAATGATGTTGAACATCTTTTGTGTTTCAGTGTTTGTATATACTAGACTTAAGTCCTTTGTCAGCTCTGCGGTTTGCAAATACTTCCTCCCACCAGTCATTAGTTTGTCTTTTCATCTTGTTAACAGTCTTTCTTTTTAATTTTGGTGAGATGCAAATTACAATTGTTTTCCCTTTATGGATCCTGCTTTTGGTGTTAAATCTTAGAACTCTCCTAGTCCCGAGTCCTGAAGACTTTTTTTCCTAGAAGTTTTTCCTTTTTTTTTTTTTTGCTGCACCACTTGGCATGTTGGGATCCTAGTTCCCCGACCAGTGATCAAACCCATGCCCCTTGCAGTAATCTTCACCACCGACCCACCAGGGAATTCCCCTCCTAAGAAATTTTTATTGTTTTATATTTTGCATTTAAGTCCATGGTTGACTTTGAGTTAATCTTTTAAAGCTAGTTTTTTCATAGGGTGAAAGGTTTAGGTTGAGATTCCTTTTTTTGCCTGCCAGTGTCCAGCACCATTTATTGAAAAGGCTCCTTCTCTTCCACTGTCCTGCTTTGCTCCTTAAAGCAAAAGCTCATTGGAAGGGGAAATCAACTGGGCACATTTGTGAGGTTCTGTTTCTGTGTTCTCTGGACTGTCCCGTTGAGCTATATACATGATCTCAGTGAGTTGTTTCTATCAATTCCATGAGGTGGGTAGCATGTCCCATTTTACAGAGGGAGAGGGAAAACTGAGGCTCAACAAAGTGGATCCACTTGGGCGGGATCACTTTTCCAGGAACCTGGGCCTATGTGATTCTGAGGGACCAACTCTGACCCAGAGCTCTCCTCTTGCCTGTCCACAGGAATGGTCCCTGCAGCAGCCCCCACCCCCACAGTGACACTTGGTGGCTGTGATTCTGTGTTTCAGGCTCTCTGGCATTGGCAAGTAGAAAACTCTCTTTCCCCTCAGATTCCAGCTCCTCCCAGCCCACCCCTCTCTCCCCAGGGCTCCCTGATGCTGCTGTCTGTGGTCTCAGTATTTTTCATCTCTGACCGCCAGCCAGGTTCCAAGTCCTGCATTCCTAGCATACCTCAGCCCCTGAACCCCCCAAGTGTTTCTCGTGGCTGGTCACCAGCCAGCCTTAGGAGGCCCTGGAGCAGGTTGGGCTGCCCCAGTGACCTTTGGCCTCAGCTCCTTTCCCTGTTTCCTGTCGCACAGTTGACATCCTGGAGCCTGTGGGACCCAAGCCAGGCATTCCAACCCAGCCACAGACATTTCCCCCTTCTGGACTCCTCTGTCTCCTGCTGTCTTCTCCTGCAGGCCTTGACCTGCCAGATTCATCAGGTTTTCAGGAACTCCG